CTCCCTGTTTGAGTTACCAAAGAAACTGAATTTGTTTTACTTGTATTTCATTTTTGTAATTTTGTAATTATTTGAGATTTCTTTAATACATAGCACCACACATTACTGGACTGTATTATGTAAAGAATTGTTTCTCTTTTGTTCGGTGTGTGTGTTTGTGACACACCACCAGAGTCAAGTTAGGCATTTTCCGAATTTTTGACACGCCGAGCCCAAAAGGTTCACCATCACTGATTTACACCATTTTTTTTAAGGGATGAGCATTTGGAGAATCCCCAAGAACCAAAATACAAAACTAGTTATCTTGTTTAGATCAGACTGATCAAAGGATGGGCGCACAACTGCATTTTTCACAGGAAGCTTCAACCTATTCAAGAAGAACAGATCCAGTGTTACTGCCCAGATTCTGCTTTAATCTGTTCAGTCCCAATCTCCATTCTGTTGATGCTCTGGTGAAAGGAGAAAGGTAATTTTGCTTTTCAAGAGAAGGTGGAATTTGGCTTAGAGGCCTAAGACTGCATGCATCTTTGAAAGACACGTGCTTCTTATATTGGGCATAGGGTAAACTGAGGCCATGTGCTATTTATTTCTCTGTGTTTCCAGCAAACTCTTAAGGGACAAGAGTTATCTTTTAGGTCACTGAGACAAGTGCTTGGAAATGTTCTGTTTTCCAGGTCAGTCCCAAGGAAACCACTAGAGGGCAGTCAAGCATAAGAAAGTTGTGAAAGAAGATTGCTCTGTTGGCTTGTGTGGGGCCAACTTGTCAGCCTATGGATGGCTGAACCAAGGTTCACTGAGTTAATCCAGTTTAGGCTCGCATAAGATGCTGAAGTACAAACCAGGATACTGCCATGTTTTGGCAAAGCATGTTGTGTAAACCCAGCCATTCGGGTAGGATTTATGGAACTTAATTGTTGGGAAATATGAGCCGCTTCTCAGCAGCTTTTTAAGCCACTTTATTTTCCAAAATAATTGATTTTTCATTAGAGCAGCAGACTGGGAAGACTGTTTTGTTTTGGGTTTTTTTGCTTATGTAGATTGCTTAAAATACCAAAGCGAATTTTAACTGTTTGGGAATTGGAGTGTAGAAGTGAGTCACAACTGAGTAAACAGTGAATAGAACTACAGTTTACACAGAGCAGGGTGAAGACTGTGATTGTATTCCTCATTATTTTCATCAACTGCTTGGAAGGAGGTCACAAAAATCAGCTTTTTAAATTTGCCCCTCACCCAAATTGTGAGCAATGCTCTCGATACTTCTGCTCTGGCATGTTATTTTTTTTAAAATCTTAGCTAGCTTTCTAAAGGGTGCTTCATGCACATTGATCATTTTCAAACACAAAGGGTAAACAGATGTTTTACTATAGGAGTAGATGATGGGATGAAAGACGTCTTAGTAGTTTAGCATAATAAAGTCACCAAACGGATAAGCAATCATCACGTCGCACTGAAATTTTATTTCAATAAATTGTGTATTCCAAACAACAAAACGTTAAATTGTAAGTGAAAACATTTGGAAACAAGAGGTTTGCTTATCATCATAAAAAAAGAACTTCTGCCAAGAGACAGTGCGCCACACGTGTGGCCATTAAAAAATTTCAACTGCAAAGAGCATTTCCAGGTATTTTTGGCAAAAAAACAAAAAACCCTCCCCACCTTGTAACAGCTTTGCTCTCTTCTGCTATAACCCTTTTAGTGCCTTTGCAATAAATAAATATATTTTCCCCCATCAGGAATTTTTAGAAAATATACAAAACGCTATACATCTTGTTCCGAAAAAGGACCAGCTATTTCGGGTAAAAGTTTTGAATTGACATATGTACAAAAACAAAAGATCATGTAAAGCTGACTGTTAAATGTAGGCTGAAGTGAAACAACTTGCTGTAATATCATCTTAGAAAAGTCATGGTTCACAGAATGTGAATGGTAGTTTTATGCCAGAAACCTAAACGCCGTTCTGTCCCTCTAAATTATAGAAGGGCACACGCCGGAGACTCTTGGTTGAAACTGCCCTTAATTACTATCATCATTGTACAATATTCCCACTCAGTGGCCTTTTGAGATTTTGCTTTCAGATCTAGGAGTGTGGGCAGGGGAATGTATACATAACAATGTTTGCCTATAGCTAAATATAGTTTCGATTATTAAATATGTATACAAGGGAAGAAGTAACATCTTCCGGGCTAGAAAGAGGATGGAATAGGCATTCCTCTTTAGCCAAATATATCCTTTACATTCGACAGTAACTGTTTCATAAGCTATTATTTCCTGTGATTGAATCTTTGTTGTCTTGCTTGGTGAGGCTCCCACCATCTCCATAATAGCCTTAATGTAATCAGCAAGCTTAACACTATTCTAGCATTTGAATGAGACAAGAAACTGTGTCTATACATTTCCCTCTCCATGCAGTGCCCATTGACCCGTCTAGCAATACTGACTAGCTCTGATATTTGGCAGTTCTTGCTAGATGTCTCATGTTCATATTGACTTTAGCTTACACTTTCTTATTTACATAGCCAGCAGTACCACTTAGAAGTGGAATTCGTTTCCTGAGTCTGTATCTGAACATTCAAAATGAGGGAAAGGTTGAATTGGAAAAGAAGCATCTTCTGTATGTCCAATAATTCAGGACTTCAGAGACACGTGAATCAACAAAGAGGTGGTCATGGTGCTTCATAGAAATGAGATGAGACAAGATGAGACCATTTTTTTTTTTCTTTTGCCTTGAACCTGCTGGCAGGATAAGGAATCTGTTACTAATAAAACAGATCAAACAAACTGGACTCATTTGGTCAAGGAATGTTGGTTGTTCAATCTGAAGGCTTATTTACAGTAAGTTTTCTCTTATGTACAGCAACACAATATATTACATCTTAGAAGAGCCATCATTCCTCATCCCTTTTCTGCGGAGGGTATTTTCAAAGAGAGGCGCTTCCTCACAATTTCATTTTCTTGACCACAGGAACAGGCAGAGCTTGAAAGATTCTCACTGCATCATCGTCTGTATTCAGCTTGACCCAGAATGGCTGGAAGCTGCCCTTGTAGCCGACAAAAGCCATTTTATCTTTAAATAAATAAATAAATAAATAAATAATAGTGTGCAATGAGGAAAATGATCTGTGGTAACATTTATAATCAGTGCTCTGCAGATAGCGCATTTCAGCACCTTCAGAGGTCCTTTTCACACCTGAAAGCAGCCATGTCTTCCTGAGAAGATGCAACTGCTTCTCCTGCCTTAGAAGCAAGGGTTGCTTTGTGTTCCCATGCCCACTCAAGAACCTTTTAGAGATCAGAACCAAAACACTGAATAGTCATTTTCAAGGAGGGTTTGACTGTTTTTCTTGCATATTGCAGAAGGTTGAGCTAAGTATTCCTTTCGATCCCTTCTGTCTCCACAATTCTATAATTCCATGCATAGCCCTCTTTTCCCAGTTATCCTAATGGGTATTAGGATTGTTTTAAAAAATTGAGTAGGATTAACAGTAGCAAACTAGAAATTGGGGTACCCTGAACAACAAAAATTTGCCATTCTGCATTTGGTGATCAATACACAATTTCTAGGAATGTTTTAAGCCTGAAGAACCCGGTGTTTTCCCCCCCCCCCTCCATTTCTCTCTCAGCCCACCACATTTGGAAAGATGGAACGGTTGTGTGGAATTCTTAAAATAGTGACACCTGGTGAAAAAGTTATAAATGTGGTTGTTCATCAATTACAAAATAATACAGGGTGGGAAAGGGAGGCCTGTTGCAATTCAGCAGTACCCAAAAGCATATTTCTTGTTAGGTGGGAAACTGGGTGGAGGCGGTATGGGGAATGGAAGGATCTGCTGCCTCCAATATGGCCACCACTGAGATATTGGGGACTAGTTCCTAAGGAGGTGGAGGACAGAGGGCTTCCTGGAGATCAAATAAATAAACTCAATTATGCTGGCGTAGAACTACAGATTTACCTTTTTTGCAGGGCAATAACTAAACATTTCCAAAATACGTTATCACATTATATAGAGTGCAACCTTGAAGAGGCACAAACCCAGTACAACGGTCTTCTGAATTATATTTGGGAGGGTGCAACAGCTGTAGATTTCACTTCCAGCATTATTATGTTTCAGAAAAATGATACAAGCTTAACCTGAACAGAACCAAGCTTCCCTAATCTTTTCACATGTTTGGGAAAACGTACAGCATGAAGGAGCCATGTTTAGAAGAGTTGTGAAGACCAGCTCTTCACCCAGGCCTTTGGGTGAAGGAGAGGGAGATCCCTCACTTCATCATGCTTGGCATAGCTTGTTTTTTTATATTTTATTGACACTATTGTAATTTCTTTGATTGATTGGGGTGAGCCGCCCAGAGTTGTTGAGAGCCAGGCAACATACAAGTTTAAATTATCGTTGTTGTTGTTATGCCAAAAAATGGAAGCAGCTGAAGCAAGAAAATTCAGAAGGCTAATCACATCAGCTACCACACTGCAGAAGCAATCTCCCAAACACATCCGTCAAATATACTTTAAATTCAGTAAAAACTCTGCAATATTTCTGAGGGCTATTCCAGTGTAACATCTAAGCTTACTTTTCTGATGCAGAAACTATGCTATCTTTGCTGTTTGGGAATTAGGATTTCTAGATTGATTGTATTTGTTTGAAGCACAGCTGAATTTTATAGCTAATAGTCATCCTTTTTTGGGGAGAGGGTGCCTTTGAGTCAGTCTTGACTCCTGGTGACTGCCTGGACAAGTCCCTGCAGATTTTTTGGCAAGATTTCAGAAGTGGTTTGCCATTTCCTTCTTCCTAGGGCTGGGAGGGAATGACTGGCCCAAGGTCACCCAGCTGGCTTCGTGCCTAAGGTGGGACTAGAACTCAGGTCTCCCAGTTTCTAGCCTGGTGACTTAACCATTACACCAAACTGGCTCTCAGTATTCATCCTACTAAAAGAAATTACTGCATTTTTTGGCTAGAAAGGGGTAGATAAAAACCTTGTGTTGCACGGGCCCTCCCCTACCCAAAGCTTCAGCTCTTTAAATTCAGTTCCATTAAGGATTTCAATAGTTTAGCGAAATCCAGTATTTGGAGTATTTTCACATGTAAAAAATAGATGGACAGTTCTGAACAGTTTTAGTGTGGCCTTTTCTCTACCAACCTTCTATGTGAAAATAGTAGAGTAGTAAAAGATATGATTGATCTGAAAACTGAAGAAAGGACCAGCCATAGAACATCAAAACTCAATTCTAGAAAAGGTACTCTTCACAAAGTCATAACAGAACTATAGCAAAGATTAGATTAGATTAGATTAGATTAGATTAGATTATATCAATAATACATTACCTTTCAATTTAAAGCCTGGTTTTGCTCCAAGTGTCTCCAGAACTTTAGTCCATGGACTTTTTGAAATGAATCTTCCTTTGGAGGTCATCACCACTATGGAACTAGAAGAAGGCAGAAAAATTACATACTGTATATCATTTGACTGAATTAGTTATTCATCAAAAATGATTAACAGAACAACTGCACTGCACTCATCAGCATAGATATCCATAGAATTTAACAGAATCTTCCTTTCTCCAATCATACAAAATTTGCTCGGTAAGCATATATCATCTGATCAGTTTATATTACAATTTGGGTTGTGGAAGTCCTTTCGATTGTTGGCTGTACTGATGAATATTTCTGGTGCTAAATGCAGGTTGTATAATGTCATCGATTTGCTTTCTTTTTATCATACTGTTTTTGTAACCCAAATTATGAGGGTTGGGATATATGCTGCTCAGAGTTATTTGCAGTTGGAGTAGTCTATAAGCCAGCAAAATATTAATTATTTTATTATTTGTATTATTATTTTATTATTATTATTATTTTATTATATAGTCTATTAGCCAGTAAAATAATAATTATTTTATTATTTTTATTATTATTTTTTTATTATTTTTTTATTATTATATAGTCTATAAGCCAGTAAAATAATAATTATTTTATTATTTTTACTATTATTTTATTATTATATAGTCTATTAGCCAGGAAAGTAATAATTATTTTATTATTTTTATTACTTTATTATTATTATTATTTTATTATTATATAGTCTATAAGCTAGTAAAATAATTATTTTATTATTTTTATTATTTTATTATTATTATTTTATTATTATATAGTCTATAAGCCAGTAAAATAATAATAAACTCATGACCTTGAGTTCAGTCTTGGTCAATGTTTGGAAAAGTTAGAATGTATGAGAAAATAGTATAGCACACCCTTTCCCAGCTCTTCTATATATTAACCTTGCACAAAAAAGCAAATAAAACAAAACGCCACATTGACTTCAGTCAAGAAAACACTGAGTTTTCAGCTCTAAGCATGAAATGATCTCTGCCGCTGCCAAGGTTTGGAACTGGGTAGCCCATAATGTGGTTTGGCTTAACATAAATCAACTGTGATGGCCTGTAAATCTAGCAATGTAATATGTAATTAGGGATTTTAGGCTTAACATAATATACAAACTCAGGTATAGTAACTCTGACCATGGTTAATGCAAACTATGGCTTCCTGTATGGATGCATGTCAGGCCCTGTACCAAGAGTGTCATAATGCTTTCCCCACAATAAAGAAACTCATAACTCAGTATATATGTTCAGACCTTCTTATAATTAATCCAGACAAATGCTGTATGCTGTTCTATACTCCAGCCCTCTTCCTTGTTTTTAATCCTGCTTATGTCTTTCCTTTCTGCAATCACTCAGCAGTCTCTGTCTGCAGAGTAAGCCTTAAAGAACCAGCTTGAACAGCACTGATCATTTGTTAAGCAAGGATACACAATATCCAGCCCCCGGGCAGGAAAGAGGATGGCAGAAAGAATAGGTTGCCCTCCCCATCATTCATTCCCCAATAAAATTATCCTTGAGGAAATGGAGCCCTGTACAAATAAGAAGGTTGTCCATTCCTGTTTACAATGCAAGGTCGAGGAAAAGTTGGATTCAGTATTCCTCCCAAGAAGCAAGTAGTTGGTACAGTAATGTCAACGCTAAGAGTATGAAGACCTTGCAGTAGTAACTGAGTATTCCAGAGAATCGACTTACACTGCACCAGATCACAGTATCATCCAGAATATTTTAATAGACAGCCTCCAGGGCAACCTTTTGTCTAGAGATAAGTGGCTCCAGATAGAGATACGTAGTAGAAGCAAGGAGTCAGTTTCCATGACTATTTCATGATAGAGTATTCACTAGATGATGTATATCTTCTTCCTGAAACCTTCTTGAAGGCCTCTGTTCCAGTTAACTTACTTGTTTCGAATGTTGTTGACATAATTGATGATCTGAGCTGGGATTCCTTGTAGAATAGCATTTTTGAAACTCATCCGGTCAACAACTTTTCCATCGTGCCCATCAATCACTACTACTTGAATACCCTCTTCAGAAAGATAGAATGACTTGCCATCAACCTACACAAGAGGAAAAGGCAATTTCTTAACATCCTCCAAGGATGGAGAATTGGAAACAAATTACTGCTTATTCTGATTTTTTTCTTTGATGCTTCGTTGTGAGTTCATATGGTCTGCTTATTTAAAACTGAACCTAAGAGCAACATCATTATATAAAAATAAATTGACAAATTAATAAAATAAGTATTTTTTAAAAAAAAAATGGGAAGCAAACACTTACTGAGATATAGGCAAAGTCATCCTTGAGATGGTAATATTTGGTTTTGTAGCTGTCTATCTTCAGTTCTACAAAATGATCCTTGTTCTGTTTTTTTAAAAGAAAGAAAATGAAGGCATTTACATCTAATCCTCAAAGATCTTCTAAAAAACCTTAATATTGGAATCAGATCTGCAGTTTATGGCTCTACTCTGAAGGCATCAGACCCAAGACTCTAACAAACGTCTTTTACTTTCCTTCCTTCCTTGGTATAATATCACAAACTTTGAGCCATGTGGAAGAAGATATAATGGACTAGAATTTTATTAACATTATGAAACTAAAGCTGGTCAAGAGAAAAATGCTATTAAGTTAGGTGATCCAGGACTGGGGTTTAACTCTATAACTGTGTTCACATGATATGCTGAACCACAAACTGGCCAACTATAATTTAACCTAGTAAGTTATATGATTTCAGTCTGCATGGTGAGTTCCTGAGTCAATGGCTTGGGCAAACTGGAAAATTTTATTAACTGAGCAAACAGATATTGAATTAGCCACAGCTATTGAGTGAACACAGACTATGTCAGATGGAATTCCCTGTCAGTAACCACCTCCCTGCCAACACATGGAGAAAGGTCCTCTACTGAAGCCAACACTGAGAGAGACTCAACCCAGGCCTCCAGGCTTAACATATTCTGCAGCTTTCACTACAGCCAAAACAATGCCTTGAAAACCTAGGAGACATATTCCCCTAAGAGAATTACAACAGTCAATCAGTAAATTGATCTACCATGTGTACACTAGGCATTTTTTTGGGCATTGGCACATCCACTGATGGCTTCTCGGCGTATTTTGGATAGGCTAGAGCTTCACAGTCACTGGTATCAGCTTTCTTAGGGATGTTGGCTTTGATCCTGATCCGTTCACAGCCTCTGATGGAGCAGAAGGCGAATGGCTCCTTCTCATGCTGAGCTTTTAGTTTGAGAAATAACAACCTACCAAAAAAAAAAGAAAAGAAAAGAAAGGCAAGAGTTGAAGAGCCATGACCATAGTCAATACAAAGGACATAGCCTAATGGGACACAACTGGCAGTGGCAAAGATAAAATTTCACAGGGACTCAGGAAGCGTTTTTACAGGCATGTATATTTATTTGCCCAATAGAGGAACACACCTTTTTTCTTCTGCCGGAAGCCTAACTGTACCCACAAAGGGATAGGATTGGTTTTTTTATTTGGGGAGGGGGGACAGCAAGGGACAGGCCTCTAGGATTTTAAACCAAACTCTCTTCCCTTTTGTGTGGGTACCCATTCTCTTTTAGATGGCAAACAAGAACTCTGAAAAAGTGTGAAAAACAGAAGTTTCTCTCTCTCTCTCTCTCTCTCTCTCAATGTTCCCATGAACATTTAAAAACAAATGAAAGTAAACACAATTAATGTATTGTCCCACGGAGCTAAGTGGTTAAGACTGACAAAGTTGCAAGACCACATATGATATTGTTTTTCTTGCTGAGGACATTCCCATCAAAGAGAAAAAGAAGGCCAATGGGCAGGATATGAATGATTACGTAGACAAGTCATAAGGATGACTTATGTTGACATGCATTCAAACCCAATCAAAAAATATCTCTTTCTATCCCAAGTCCATGAGAGTTTGAGAATATTGGATATTCTTGTTCATTCCTTACCCAGTGTCTTCATCCCAATAGTAATAGCCTTTGGTAGGATATCGATATTCAAGTTTGTCCATTTGAAGAGCTGGGTAGAACACCCCAGTTTTGTAGGTTTTCTTCAAAAGGCGATTGTGAATATCTGAGAGAATGGAAAATGTTGTCCCTTTAGGATAACAAAATCCAACTTGGATCCAGTCATTCCTAAATAAAGAAAAGGAAAAAATGCATTACTAAAAACAAAAAGTTCAACCCCAAATCTCATGACTATGACTTTTCTGGAACATGCTGCAAGCCAAGTCAAATATTTAGCTTAAAAAAAGTTATTCTTTCCATGCTGGCTAAATGTTTAGATGCTGGAGCTGAACTAGTTCCAAAATGATTTAAAGATCCATTAGAGCCATATGGAACCATTTTCCAATGGTAGATCACCAGCTCTGAGTAAAGGATAAATTTGACCCATTCCATGTATTAAATAATTAAATTATGACTGCTTTGCCTTTATTCTACAAGAACATAGAATGTTTAGGTGAAAAGACGGTAAAACTCATAATGAAATTGTTGGAATTATGATGTCAGAGCTGGAAGAGTATGGCAATCGTTATAACATTTTTTGTTTCTCCTAACAACGGGCATGAAAAGTTCAGAAAGCTTATTCAGGGGTTGCATGCTCACTTGTTGAAATTAATGAGCCAAATAGCCAATTCCTCAGGAGCGGTCCTGTCCCAGTGGATGGTGTATCCTTTCTGCAGAGTGATCACGGGCTGGTACTGTTGATAATGGGTGCTTTTGCTCAGAGCACCTTCTAAATACAAGGGGTGTGTATAGAAGTCACTTTTGATGATTTTCATCTTCAGATTAGATGATTTATATGCTTGGATGTACACCTGTTTGGGAAAAAAAAGAGAAGACCCTTCATAGCATGTTTAACTATATAACACAACCATTTATTCCCAGTGGTTTTCAAATTTCAGTCTTCAATGAGGTCTTTCTACTCATTCCTATCCTTCTGAACAATGACATTGTTTTATCTTTTTAAATATCTTTCCAGTTGCAGGAAATTTGGCTTCCCACTCAGCTATCAATGTATAGAAGAAACTAAGCCTCATAGAAGGCTATAATTGAGTTTACTGCTTTTTTAACCTGTAGGAATGGGGCCCTATGGAAAAATCTTCATTCCACTAATTCTGTTAGATCTTTGGGTTCATATTAGATTGCAGACAGCCCATAAATTCAATTTCACCCTGTCCTATGAACCAACAGCCTTCTGATTTGTACACCCACCATCCCCACTACCTGTGCATAGCGTCCACTACAGATGGATCCTCTCCAGTCTGGAACTTCAATACAGTCTCGATGCTTAATAAGCCAATTGTCCTCTTTAATAAGGTATGATCCAGGATATTCTGACACAGAGCCGTCTACATCATGGAAAACTGATGTTTTATCACCATCCATGTCCAACCCATTGAACCAAGGCCCTGGTTCTCCAAAGAAGACTCTAGAGGAAATCTACATATAAGAAGACAGACACATTGCTTAGTAAATGCCTGGATCTCTTTGAGAGGAGCACAACTTGCTCTCCACATGGTAATCTCTGAATATATGCATTCATGGTTCTCCCAACAATGGAATACATGTTTATCATTTGTTTATTTAGACAGACATTTTAATAGAAAGCAGTTTAATATATTGATAATGTGCCATCAAGTCAATTTCAGCTCTTAGCAACCACATGACAGACCTTCTCCAGGGTGATCTATCCCCAGCTGTAACTTTTAGGTTTTTAGCCTGGTCATTTGTGCCTCAAGTGAGAACTCTGGCAAAACAAATCTTTTCTCAATTTGTTTATTTTCTTGGCTATTTGTTTGTATTCTCAGGAGACTTCTCCAACAGCAAAGTTCAAAAGTGTCAGTGCCCTTTCTATACAAAGTTAAAACTACACAAACCTGCAAAAGTTAAAGCCCTAAAAGGGGACTATGGTGGCAACAACAAAAACACTTTAAACTTTATATAACCAAAACCTTATTTGATCCTTATTTGAAGCCAAATCCAAACTCAGTTTAGCACCAACTGTACAGGGAGGAGATTCTGCCAATGGGGCCACTGTATGCAAAACTTCCTCTGCAAATTCTGTTGGAACTATACTGTGCCTCAAGGATTTGTTCTTGGCACAATCCTTCGATTCATCAATCTTCTCTGAAGACAAACTCACCGGGACATCTTCAAAGAACACGTTTGTGACATTGTTGTTGGGGCAACTTTGCCAGGCATTGTTCAGGCGGAATGCCAGGGCACTGGTATGTCGGCCTTCTAGTGCAGCAAATTTCCGGAAGGTGCAGTTCTGCACGTTGATTGGCCCATCATAGAATTGAATGCCTCTGATTGGGAAATTCCTGAAACATATTTTTAAAAGATGTGCATAGGAGTTGGTTCTAAGAAATTAGCAGAAAGCACAAGTGCATTGCCAAGAACCAGTGCAGTGCAACAGTTAAGGGAACAGGATACCCAAGTACAAGTCTAGTGATGGAAACTCACTGCTGGCTTTGGACCAGTCACTATCTATCAGTCCAACTCCTAGGATTGTTGTGGGAAAAAATAGAAGAGAGTGGAATATGTATGCTAACTTGAGTTCCAGGAGGAAAACCACGATATACTGTACATCTAACAAGTAAGTCATTAGGCAGTGATGCATAAAGCCTGCATGTTAGCTGACTATTTTCAAATTTAGCTGAAGGAATTAGCTTCTACAGTCTCTCATGTGTGTATGTATATGTGAGTGAGTAGGAAGGTTTGTGACTCTTATTAACACACCTCAGGTTTTTTAAGCTGTGTTCAAGCTGTTAATGCCCCTATGGGCTGCATATTTTATATTTCAACTATGGAGGATTTTTTTGGTCTATGACTGTCCATCCATCCATCCATCCATCCATCCATCCACCCACCCACCCACCCACTAAGTGTGCCAATCCCTTATCAAGCAATATACTCCAGCATTCATTCATTCATTTACAGCATGAAACACTTCCCAAAACAGAGACTTAATAAGTGACTATAAGAAAACAGAAGTTGGGAGAGGAGGGGTGGGAGAAAAGTAGTCAAAAGGCAATTGTTTGTCAGAGATGCCTTTAAATTAGCCAGATATTTCAGAACAGAGAAAGCATGTGGCTGAAATCTAAATCCAAGTCTAGGATGAGGGGGTTAAAGAGGATAAAGCTATCAATGACTGCTGCTCCTGAGGCCTACGTATTACCTCCAGGGTTGAGAGATAATTTGATCTTGGGCTGTGTGTGCATGTTTCTCTTGGAGGCATAGCAGCTAGCTACTACAGGAGCAGGAAGCTAGACTGCATAATCCCTTTGGTGGGATCCAGTATGTGACACAATGATTCTTAAGAGCCAATTACAATTACTATACTAATACTGTTAAAATAGTAGTGAGAGCCATTTTTGCATCCCTTGATGTCCACATTAACGTCACAGGGAATTAAGCCTCAATCCAGATGTGCAAAGGGTAGCATAATTCAAAATGTAATATACAAAATCTATCAGCTCTTATTAGAAGGAAATACAGTTTACATGCTCTTCTTTTCAAGGAGTTTACTTCAGTAGTTTCAAAGGCCACACACATTAGGCAGAACCCTTACTTGTAGGCTCACCCCTTAGAAAGGGGACAAATTGAGGACAAATAGAAAACTACAGTGAGTTTAGAAACAACTGTTGTGGCAAAGAATATTTATTTGGGTCTTTGGGAGGCTGAGTGAACTTCAGTTTGGACTGATTGATTGAAATGGGAATCTCAGATCTGCTCATTGTAGAAGAACAGATCTAAAATGCAGCTTTTCTTTCATTTATGGTCTGTTCAGTGGCAAGTTTAGAAAAAAAAGAATAGAATTAAATTTTGTACTGGCTTGGAAACCTGGACCAAACAGGAGAATTTCCCAAACTCACTGTCCAATGGGCAAAGTCCGTCCACTGTGGTCTAACCCTCCAGGTCCCCAGATGTTGTTGTCCATTGTTTCAGTTCCTTTATTTCCACTTTCACCAACAAAGAGGCTATTTTTAATTTCTTGTTTTGATCCGTCATCATGCGGGAAGGTCCCTCCACTAGAAGAGATCAAAATGGCTGGTCAGCATGGCTTCTTGAGACAACTCCTACTTTTCTGTAACTTGTAGAGGCAAAAAAACCCTGAACCTAAAACAGGAACCAAGAGTGCTTACCTAGCCAGAGTGAGGCCAATGCCATTGTCAGCAAACCTGTAAGGAAGAGAGACCGTTCAAGGGTTAGTCTGGAGAATTGGATTCCAATCTGTGCCATGATTTTATTGATTAGGCTACTTGTTTGGTCCTCAGTAACCTTCTCCCATCATTGCAGTGAAAGAAATCATGATTTCACAGACTAACAAGCTTCTTTGAATATTCAGGGAAGTGGAAGGGAAGCTCATTATTCAGAGGGTTTACAATCTGAATCTCTGCATTATCCAGAACTCCTGGTTCTCCCAACATGCTGCCAGATTAGGAAGCAGCAAAGGCATAAACAAGATCACCATTTCCTTCATGGTACATTTCAACCAGGATTAAACATAATAGGAGGTGTAGGGGTGCTGCAAACCCTAGAGATCTCAGTAAATTTATTAATTTAACAACCTATGAATTTTGCAACAGCCCCCCACCCCATAAAATCATTTTGATGAAATCCTCTCTGTTGGATCCTCATAACCAGTCCTTCATTTTCTTGCAAAAGTGTGGCTCCAATCCTCAAGTCATTTATTCTGAAGTAATCCCATAAGCTTGAATGACAATGAGAGAGAAGCCCTTTGAGCATGAAGTACTAAAAAAAAACAAAAAACAAACTGGAAATAGTTTGTCACTGACTTCTTCCAGGATGCAGTTTTTACTTCCCAACCTTCTCTCTCTCTCTCTCCCTCTCTCTCTCTTTCTCTCTCTCTCTCTCTTTTTTTTTTTTGAGTGTGGGGGAGTGCCTTCAAGTCAATTTTTGACTCCTGGTGATTGCCTGGACAAGTCCCTGCAGTTTTCCTGGCAAGACTTCAGAGTGGTTTGCCGTTGCCTCCTTCCCAGGGCTGAGAGAGAATGACCGGCCCAAGGTCACCCAGCTGGCTTTGTGCCTAAGGCAGGACTAGAACTCACGGTCTCCCAGTTTTTAGCCTGATACCATAACCACTGCACCAAACTGGCTCTTTCCAATCTAACCTGGCTGCAAGACTTCCCGGTGTCTCTATCTAAGTAGTATTCAGGCCAATTCTGCTTATTCTTTTTAGACCAGAAAGTCGGTCTAAATGTGATTTTAAGGAAAAATGGGGGAAAACACTAAAATTATTAAATTAAATTAAATTAAATTAATTAAATCAAAAGAGAAAGCAGGTTATGTCCCTGCTTTAAAGCTAATTCCCTTGCCTTCCCAAGTTGATGCATTGAAAAATATGTGAATGGCAATTTACTTTAGCCTACATTGTGTTGCTCTGGTGCAGTAACAAATATTAAAACAGCTAGATTCCTACAGTTATAAAAATACTTAAGTTATGCAAGCTGGAAACTTATTTGAAATTGGCCTGAATAAACACTGCCAAAAGTTTAACAAGCTGGAAAAAGCCTTTCTGGGAATTGAAAAAAAGAAAGGCCCGAGATACTCAAATTGGTTGTTAATATTCAGTTACAAGGACACGCTGGGTGAAGGGAAGCAAGAAGGCTAAAAGAAATTAGAGTCAAACCTACATATGTTACTGCCTATGCTGGTGGGCATTCTCCATCCTGTAGCGGATTTATATTTATTAAATAGCACCTGAAATTAACAATGCAGCATCTTGTATGGGTGGATTGAAGCTGGAGCAAATAAAGGTCCTTGTTCCAAGGAAGTTACTAGTCTAAATGTTGAGAGAAAGGAGGACCTGCCCTTTGTGACTTGAAAGCAAAGGCAAGAAAAAGAGGATAAGCAACGTTTAGGATTTTATTTTAAATTTGCATCACACATTTAAACTGGTTTAATAGGATTTATGTCTATAAGCTATTGTGGGGTGTGCCTGGAGCTATAACGACAGTCAGCTTGGAGTAGAGGTGAAGGTGCTGAACTAGAAACCGGGAGCTGGTGAGTTGTAGTCCTTCCTTAGGCATGAAAGCCGGCTGGGTGACTTTGGGCCGGTCCCTCACTCTCAGCCCAACCCACCTCACAGGGTTGCAGTTGTGGGGAAAATAGGACACAGGAGCATTATGGACACTATTCTGTACACTTTGTACAAAATAAAGGTGGGGTGTAAATCTAATAATGAATAAAATTTTAAGAGCTGCATGGAAAGGGAATGCAACTCAGAGGACAGCAACTGTGGGAGCCTTGAATCCACTCCCTGGTATTTGCAATTAAAAGCAAATAAGCACCAGCTACAGGTGATGGGAAGAAGCTCTACGTGAGCCCATGGAAAGTTACTGCCAGATGTAACTGCCAAGACTGAGTGGGATGGACAAACAGTATGGCCTATTTTAAGGCCACATGTTAGTTCTCTGTAGCAGCATCGCTAAATTCCCAGAATCTTTTTCATGATAAGAATTGTACTGAAAGATACGTGTCAACCTGTAGCTATACCATCTAGAGATACTTTTAGTGTGAAATCTCTTTGGAAGAAAGGGAGGGAGGGACTGCAATAAAATAAGAGAATGCAATTGAAAAAACAAATAATAACATTTTAAACTACCAGCATCAAGTGTTTTCATCATTTAACAGCAAAGCCTGTTAAAACTAACTTTGGATTCCTGTAGATTGTTGGACAATTACAGATAACCACCAGAAACACTGCTGAACAGTTTTCATGTTAATTCTCGGTTATCAGAGATAATGCTTGGCTATGTGTAGATTAGAAGCAGGCCTCTGTAGAAAAAAAAAAATCTGCAGTTCTCAAAAGCAAGAGGTTGTTTTGTTTTAAACTAAAAAAGGCTGCCCTGAGATCAGGAGGAGGAAATCTGCAGGCTTGGTTCTCAAGACCCAGACAGACTATAGCTCAAATCCAAAACAACAGCCACATGTTTTGCACAGTTGTATTGCCAAGCTCAGATTTCTGCAACCGGATCCTCTCCAGGTGTGCTAGGACTACGCAGCCAGTGGCTTTGAAGGTTGGGAGTTCTAACAACTGCAAACCCAACACGTTTGGGAGATATCAGGTTGGAGGAGGTTAAGCTACCAATTTGCCACTGTAACCACAAACACCTGGTGGAATGGATGGAGTCAGCACAGCCATTGTTTGTGGAACAGGAAGCAATTTCCTGTGTCAAATAAGCACGCCATCGTTGCTTGTGCTCCTTGACTTCCACAACTTGCCAGTAGCAAGTGGAAATTTGGGGTGATTCCAGGTCAAGTGGAATCTCGCTAGGGCAGGAATCTTGCAGGTCAGCTTTGAGTGGAGCTAAATTAAAACTTAAAAAACATGAACCGTTTTGTTCAAAACGTTCATGCTGTTAAAAAGTAGACAGAAGATGGTTACTCTCTGCTCATGTACCTATGTGATCATTTCTCCCCTTTGATATGGTTAAAGTTGTAATTTGTTAACACCTGTAGGAGGTCCCCCGGGGCTGCATTCAAGGTTTTGGGGGGGGGGCGGCAAGTGACCCATGGGCTTCAAGTTGTGGGATTCTGCATGAACCTGTCCCCCTTTTTCATGCAAGTAAAAAAGGGTGGGGCTTTAATCACATGATTGTGGCTAGCATCTTGACTTTTTTTTACCAGCCCCGCTCCTGCAGACATCCCTGGAATGAGGACTGGTTGAAGGACTAGAGCTGGAGAATTAAAAAAATGCAATGGGACTCTGATTCCCTTTTTTCGCCCCCTGCACTGGAGCCAGGAAATAGACAAACAGCATCTTTATGACATAATCTGGGCATCTGATTTTGCTGGACCTTGCCCAGAGCCCTTGTTGATTCGGCAGGCTATAAAAATTGTAAATAAATTTTAAAAATAAATACATAATTGGATGACCCAGTGTCCTCAGAAAGCAAAATAAGGGAATTGTCTTCCATCTGTACAAGACTTTTACGCTGACCATTGTTTACGCACCCTTTCGCCAAGCAACACTGTCTTATGTCTACTTGCCTGGCACTGGAATTCTTGGCAATAATCTGTGACCACATAAAATAAAAGCACTAGACCAGCTGCTTATATTTTATTTTGGGCTCAGGGAAGAAGGGTTTATTTAAAATTCCCCTCCTGCTGCAGCATACTGTAAAAGGGGGCATGCAGACAGATGTGCATCACAAAACAACCCTACGCACTCGCACCGGCTTCAGCGGACAAGCTGGGGTTTGTGTTTGCAAAAACAAGGGCCCTGCCCCCCTGCCGATTTTAATTTTTGCCTAAATCTCAGCCAGACGAAAGATGCTGGAAAAAGAGGCCTAGCCACAGCCCGGCTTCTGCAGAGATGGGGTTGAACTCAGAGGAGAACAGAGGCAACACTCACTGGCAGTCGTCCAACCACACGTCTCCTCCCCTCAGCCAGGCTCCATGGTCCTGGTTCTTGTAAGCGATAAAGCGCTGAATTAGAGCCGGCTCTCTGGGCTTCAAAGGGTCAGCATCCTTGTGTGGGCTGTATCTGGAATTGCAAGAGGCAGAAAGGGGGATCAGGGACCCCAGTTCTCTGAGGAACCCCCTTGAGGTGGGCTGCTTTAATCTCATCCCCTCACAAGGCCCTGCATCAAAGTCAAGCTTCTAGTCCTCATTAGAAAAACACAACCAAACTCTGCACCACTGTACAGAATTACAGAGATGACCTTGGAGAAGGAACGAGGCAGGAGTTAACAATATATGATTTAAGCCCAGGACAGGAAGAGAATGTTAGAAAGAACTGTTGCTTTCTCAGTTCTCATCAGACTAATAACCATAACAAACATCAACCCGCCAAGGTTTAGTCATAATGAGATGGAGTATTACTCAAGCATTTTCAAGAGTCAGGGGAAGCTGTGGAAAGGAAAAGGAGCCAGAAAAGGAAGTTACAAGAAAATCTTGCCCCAGCAGCTTCTCAGCTGCCACGCAGGTACAAGTAGCTGCAAATCCTCTCCCCACCAGTGACTTCTTTCCTTTACTAGAGTTATCCAACCATTGTTGTGCCCAAATAACAACAATGGGGACAGGCTTTCTGTCATTTTCAGGATAGTTTACAAAGTCACTAGTGGGGGAAACAGCTTCTGTTAGTAAAACGGGAAGAACGGGGGGGGGGGGGGGGATTGATAGCTTTCTTTTGCTGTCCCCAAACAGAACTGGTTTCTGTTGAGCACGAGGCATTTTAAGCAAACTTGAAGTCTTACTATTGGACACACTCATGGGAATCACACAATGATGGTGATGAGGATTAGGATGCAGGCAGGCCTAGAATAAATGCCCAGGTTGATGACAGCATTATTTCCTTTCATGTAATCATCCATTATAAGAAGCTTAATTGGCTGGGGACGGGGTTGCACTCAGGGAATTCCAAAAAATTAGTCCTCCCTTTAGCCATTTAAGCCTGATTTCTGATTGCATTGATACTGACAGATCAGAAGAACAATGGCTAAAGGATAGGGCTATGCTAACTGCAGAGTGTATGTGTGTGTGTGAGTTTAGTATTTATATTAGCACCTAGTTTAGACTCACTTCTCCCATTTGAGCCATAATAGGGGAATTCCAGCAATCCCAATTAACAGAGGAGTAAGAGATTACTTTAAAATTGTGGATCTCAAAGATCCAAGACTACAAAGCAACAAGGAGAGTGTGATGACTATTCAGTGCCAGCAAAACAATCTAAATTCTATACTCCCCCAAAGTAAATCCCTGCCAACAAGCAGCATTACAGAAATTTGAACACATGAGCTTATTTTACCCTGTTTATTTTACTTTGATGTGTTAAGGAGGAGACATAAAAGGAGCTCTGCTCATAGAAAAGTCTTGCTTTTGACCTTACAAAATGCCCAGTGACCCCTCCCCTCCTGAAAAAGGAGGAAAAAAACCCCCTCCAGATATTTGATCAAGCATTGTCAACATATTTCCTGTATAGGCTTTGGAAGCATTAGACTAAAAATGTGCTCCTTTCTGTATAAATGATGAAAAGGCATTCAAGATGTTGAATGGCACTTCTCACTAATGATGGACTTTTTTTTCTGACCCACCCTTGAGCCCAAGTAAACTTAGAAGAAAAATCATCTAAGAATGAATGCAATTACACCGTAAAAGAGGGAGGGGGTGTAACAAATGGAATCTGCTCTCCATACAACAAACACCCTGGGAAAAGTAATGAATTTGAAACCAAAAAGGGGAGACATGGAGCTTAATGACAGCCTGAACTTCAAGGATCAGAAGATGTATGAGAAAAAGTAGTAAAATCAGCATTCTTGAAGATGATTAGAAACTTGCAGGAGGTGAGAATGCAAGAGAGAGACAGGATCTTGTTGGAACAGGAAAAGTGTTCCCAGATAAAGAAGTTACGTGGCTTGGCAGGTCAGATTCCCCTTGCCAGTATCAGAAAACAGCCCAAATCAATGCAAAATTTCCCATGGACACAAACAGTAACTGTAATTCCCCCCTCAGCCACAACAAAGCCAGAAAAGTCAGTTTACCTTCCAGAAATCAAAGTCAGGATAGGTCGTTTGTCTTTGGCTGATGCTGGCGTTGTTTTAACTCCATTATCAATTATCATTCCAGCCTGGGGAGGAGGAGGAAAGGCACTTGGTAAGCAACATCTATTCTGACAAATCTGCATGGGACAAATTCTTGGAGGGGGGGAGAAACATACATCTTTTACAGAGGTCTATACCATTGACACCAACAAAAGAATTTGATGGTACAATTTGATCTGGTACAAAATGGATTGCCCTCCCTTTTATTTTCGTGATTCAGAAATTTAATTCATTCATTCATTCAGTCATTCATTGGTTCATTCAATTTGTACGACCATTCATCTCCAATTCAGGACTCCGAGAGGCTCACAACAGTTAAACACCTCATAAAATACATAAAATACATAAAAACAACACACACACAATCAGCAGCCAAGGTCAAAACATAACCAACAGAACAGAACCAACAACAAATCAACATAACCATTGTATAGGCTCTGCCACACGTCTGGATTCCCAAACCCAGTGCAAAACTATGTCTTTAAGGCCTTGCAAAAGCTCAGCAAGGTTGGGGCCAGTCTCATCTCGGAGGGAAGTGTGGCCTCAAATATTCACCCATTCGCCCAGCTTCCCAGTTGTGTTAGAGCAGTGTTGTCCAAACTTGGCCACTTTAAGATGAATGGACTTCAACTCCCAGAATTCTCCAGCCAGCATGGTTGGCTGGAGAATTCTGGGAGTTGAAATCCACTCATCTTAAAGTGGCCAAGTTCGGACAACACTGTGTTAGAGAAAAGGGAGATTTTATTATAGTTAAAATGCCTCTTGTTTTTTTACAATGTCCCTACTCAACTGTAGTCTACAGTTTTATACAGCCATCCTTTCCTTCCTCTGTCTCCAGTTCAAAAGTTCTTAAGATACTGAACATGAAATCAGGAGAGCTATCTGAAAGAGTTTTAGTCTTGCTTAGAAAAATCAAGGAAGTAGAGGAATCAAAGAGAGTCTTGCTTTGGGATGAATTAAATGCATACCAGCTTGAAATATATTCATAAAGAAAAAAAACATAGTTTACATTTTTTTTAATTGCAGTTCTCTTGAGGGTCAAAGTACTCATGATGTTAAACAGACGGTCGTTCTTAACAGTATTAAGTTTATTGTGTATGTAGTCATACATCAAATTTATATTGAATAAGATACACACATCAAGTTTCCATAGATTAAAGACAGGGATATCTGTCACTTAAACCTGTTTTGTTTTTTACCCAGAGAAAGTGGAGGCTAACGGTTCCTTCTAGGATGTATCAGAATGAAATTTATTCTGCTGTAAAGAAAAAAAAACCTTGGGAATGTTCCACTGGTGTCAAGAGAAACTGCTTTTTTGAGGCAAACCAGTTTGGAGAGAGGATACTCATAAGGACTGGAGGAGGGGGGATGAAATTGTCTCCTTTATTATACAGTAGGGTCTCAATTCTAATTTCCACCATAACTTTTATTTTTAATGGCTGAAAAAAAAAATCTCAGAGCCATCAGTGCATTTGGTATGAAGCTTAATTTGGTCCAAAGTTCACATTATCATTCACATGTACTAGATGATTAGTTACCTTGCCCACCAGCAGGCACCAGGTTTGAGCCCCATAGAACAGTGTTGTCCAAACTTGGCCACTTTAAGATGAGTGGACTTCAACTCCCAGAATTCTCCAGCCAGCAAGGCTGGGCTGGGGATTCTGGGGGGTTGAAGCCACCCAACTTTAAGTTGCCCAGGTTTGGCAAACATGTTCTTTTGGGGTCAAA